GCCATCGTGTTCCATCTGTGCCTATCACAAAGACTCCTCTTGTTTCCATTTGATATTTTACAATGGAGGGAGGGAGAGCATAGCATGAGGGACTCAAGCTTTTTCTTGTGCTGAGCACCTGGACCAACGAAAATGGGGTTTACACCCTGACTTGTTTCCAACATAAGGTTTCGGTACGTTCCAAACATAAAATAATCTTTGAAGTTAATTATTCCCTCCAAGAAAATAAGCATTTGTTGAAGTTGCTTGAAGTTAAAGGCAAATGTTAATTAAACAAACTAATTATCAATCAACAGGCTTGATATTCAATAAATCATCTTTGCTGCAAACTACATGTATTGAACAGTTATTTAACTTCACAAATATTTTACCATCATTTGACCAGCAGGATCAAACATACTCTGTGTCTCGAGCAATAGCAAACTAGCTCAAGATTATATGCAGTTAAATCTTCTCTTACGTAGAGACCTTTTTTCCTTTTAGATTTCGAAGATTCTTTAATACTTCTTGTTTGGCGCAGTAGCCTTTAAATTTGACTATCATCTGACGAGGGTTGAAGCCACCTGGTCTACCAACGCGATGCGCTCGGTCTATTTCGGCATTATTGATTGAAATACCAATTTCATTTTGAAAAAAATTTGATGCCGCTTGATAACAATCTTCACTGGGCTCTTCCTTTACCCCTCCGATACGCAGGTTATACTTTCTTGAATATTGCTCGTTGGCATTACACTTGATGGATAGTCGATCTACTTCGACACAAAGCTTCGCGTTTTCGGATTTAAGCAACACGATTTTCGAAAGCTCATTTTGCAAAGCTTCCTTAACATGGGTGGCAAACGCATTCATGATTTCTTCTTTGATTAAGGACTTCATCTCTTCTCTAAATGCTTCTTTATCTGGGGAAAGGCCAGAGGTTTTCTTCTCAATCTTTGACCTCGTCGACATATTAAATGGCGTATTCGCAAACAGTTATGCGTGGATGAGCAAATAACAAATTATAATACATAAAATAATCCTCAGCGACATTGCATCAATTGAAAGAACTGAAAATCTTTCTGGATTTGTACAAAATCGTTCCACATCAAGAAGCTGTTGTTTGTTAGCCAAAAATACTGTCTACTCATTTGATAGGTTAACGTCTCCAATAAACCAATCGGTTATGTGGATATTCACCAGCTGAACTTATTTTCTTGATTCCCCCTCTGTGGTCAATCATGGCATGCATAATTGCATTTAATGTTAATTGCCTTTTTCCTTTGGCGAATACATCTTGAACATACATATATCTGTACGGATCCCCTTGGCATTCAGAAGATAGATCAAATACTTTTTCAGTGATGGTAAATCGCCAGGTTTGTACGATTGTCGGTATGTGTCATATTTGTCTGCCACAGTCCCCATCTTGAAATGCTTTCTCCCTTGGTTTGTCCATGAGGCCATGTCATTGCATTTTATATCCCGCACTTCGTCTAAGCCCCAGTAATCAACTATAAATGCCGAGTTGTGTTGGACATTACATGGGACCACTCCCTCAACTTGACTGTCATCCCTAATCCTAAGGCATTCCCTGGCGACTTCCTTGGTTTGGATACCTTCCCGATATATAGAGAGGCAGGTTCCTATTGTCATTACAAAAATGGGTGTGATTGATTCCACTAGACAGGGGATCACTCTCGCTTTCACTACCACCTCTGGATGGAAGTTCAATTTCACTGTCACTCTTGTCACTTAGTCTTGGGTTGCTAACACGATGCTAACAACTGAGTGAAATAATATTTAATCATTATGTTACTAAGGTTATGAGAAGTTAAGGTTAAAGGGAAAATTTAAGTAGGCTCCCTATAGTTATTAGTAGAATTTGAAGTTGGTTTAGTTAGACGTCATTCTTGCATCATGCCATAGGCAGCCCCAGAGGAGTAGTGGTCACTATACCATGATGCATTGCAATTAATTATATATTATTGATTTTCCACGAGCGGGCACTTATTATTCCGCTTGACCTTTACTATCAAAACAACATGAGTTCACCACCATTAAGCTTCAGTTTTGGAAGGTTATGATCTGCAATTTGTTCATTGTGTATTGTCAGAGCCTATGCTGTTGCAATGTGACTCAATGCAATTCAATGGGCTAATGATATCAAAGTAATCAAACCTCGATGATCAAACCAAATGAACAGTCTAAGCTTCTCTAACTTAAACTTTTTTTAGCTCTATATGCATATATTCATATATTCAAAACAGAAAGCACAAATATTTTTACAAATGTCGGCTATAAAAATCTGAATCATAAGCATTGCATATAGCTACATTGCCTTTGTATTCGCTTTAACAATTAAAACAAACGATTTACCCTCAAAACATGACTGGAATGTATCTCTATCAATGCTGGACTATTGCAATCTGCAAAGATTTTGTCACCTTTTAGAGACAAATGATATCCAAACTGTCCAAAAAACTCGTGTGAATCTCACGGCATGCAAACTAAACACACAATAACCCATAGGAACCACCCTGATGCGCCCTACTTTATTATTTTACTCTGTCTAATGCCAGATTATTTTACTCTGTCTAATGGCAGACAATTTTACTTGTCAAGGGGATAGCGCTGGTACTTAATGGGTTAACTGGTCTATCTGCCTATGTGTCTTGTTAACACATTGAGTCGCATTGAGCCCTGATACGCATTGTGTTTTTGACAGTAAAGTGCATATTTGCATTGTAAAATGCGCTTAGACATTGACTCCGGTTATTTAAAGTTCTGCTGTTCCAATTACATTTCATATATTCCAAATGTATGTATATATAGAGATATATAGAGATATAGAGATATAGGTATAATGTTCACAATACAAACTATAAGAGGTCCGGTCTTGTGTAAACTGCTTTGCAATTTTGCAAATAATATAAATAATAAATATATTGTACATCGGCAGACAAGACTGTATCATTTAATCATTTTATATCACCTTAGCAAAGTCTCGTTCAAATTTGCCTCTGGTTCCCAGCTGGATTTGAATGTTGGATAACCAATCCATTTCACTAAGTATTCTCTCTAAACAAATTCAAGTTTGTGGAATAGATTAAAAGTCGTACTTTGTTTGTACAGGCAGTTTTCTCAATAACATAAAAAATCAAACTAATATATTTTGATAAATGTACTAGACAAAACTACAAGTACTGTTACCTGTCCAAAATGTCTTGCAATAATCCTTTCTGCCTCGAAAAGCTTTCCTGCAGCTTTTCTTGTTCGCTGTTTCTTCTTTTCCATATGAATATTACATAAATTATGTAAAGCAGCATACGAAATAGCTGGCTTTGCCCCTCTTTGTTCTTATTTTGTCGGCCATGCTTATTCAGCTTCGCACTTTTGGGTATTTCAAAGCGCTAGATCGTACTAACTGGAATCAGTGCTGACTGTTAACAGTGGGTGCCAGGGTTACAATTTCTGGCCATGATGAATATACAATTTATAGAGTGGCCCATATTCATGCCTCAAATCTACATGGCTTTAAATGCAGCAGAACTCCAGTGTGAGATTCAAAACGGCATATAATTACTTGAAAATTCTGTATTTGATTGTGCACTTTGAAAGACTCAAGATTTTCAGGTACAAAAACAGCAGATATAAAATTGAAAAAGGTATCTGTATAAAGCCTATAACATGTAGGTTAAGAATATACAATTTATAGAGTGGCTCATGTTTATGCCTCAAATCTACATCAGTACATAGCTCCAAACACAGTAGAACTCCAGCGTGAGATTCAAAACTGCATATAATCACTTGAAAATTCCGTATTCGATTGCACACTTCAAACGACTTGCGATTTTCAGGTACAAAAACAGTCGATATATAATTGAATAAGGTATCTGTACTAGAAAATACATGCATGCAGAAACCCTTGCCTTGCTGACAAAACCATTGTATTTTCCGAACATGAAGTATCTAGAGCAGTTGTCATGGTAACACGATAATTTTTTAAGAATATTCTTACAAATGAAAAATCGCCTAAAAATATCACTTTTAATTACAAAATTATTATTTTCCCAACATATATAAGTTAGGTATGTTATTATATGTAATATAAGCCTCAGTTTAAGGTAAAATTCAACCACAAATGTTTTGCAAAACGTTTTAAAGTCACTAGTGTTCTTTATAAAACTAAACTGCCTTTTAAATTGGCTTTATCGATAAACTTTGAGTTTGCAATTAAATGATTTCAAATTCTCGCTTGCAAATAACTTTGCTTTCTTTTTTATATAAAAAATTCAATATCATAAAAAAGGGAATCAATATTAAAGATACACTGAAATTATATGGCAATGTGCTGTCTTGTTTTAATAGTTGTTTCATATACGCAAAGGCCGTTGGGTTTTAAAGCCATTATAAAATCAATATTTAAAACAAACTTACCTTTGTTAACATCGGCTCCCTTCTTTTAGCCGATTCTTTCACAGTTTCTTTCTGAGAGCGCTTTTGAAATTTACAAAATCTTGCAAAAATGCGAGCAAAAATGAAATATATTTGCAAGAAATTTAATTTATCAATCATCAAATCAAAAGAAATGTTTGCTATTTCGCTGTCGTCATGCAGTCGTTATAATGCAAACTTTAAATCATCGGACCAATCAGTGTCCGCTATTCATGACAGTCCATATTTTTGAGATCAGTGAGGATGACCACCCACCCAACACCCCAACATCGTTGGTGACCCACGCCCGCGATAATTGATGAACTTTAGACTTCATTAATGCTTTCGTTTCCCCGGGTGCAAATAGCCAGGGGAATTAGTACCCTCGCACGGTGCTTCGCGCCGTCGGCTTGGAGATAAAGCCTATACTCCATAGATTATGAAAATATAATTTATAGAGTGGCCCATATTTGTGCCTCAATTCTATGTGGCTCCAAACGCAGTAGAACTCCAGCCTGAGATTCAAAACTGCATATAATCACTTGAAAATTCCGTATTCGATTGCGCACTTTAAAAAACTCGCGATTTTCAGGTACAAAAACAGCCAATATATACTTGAATAAGTCATCTGTATAAAGCATATAGCCTGTAGATTATGAATATGCAATTTATAGAGTGGCTCATATTCATGCCTCAAATCTACATGACTCCAAACGCAGTAGAACTCCAGCGTGAGATTCAAAACTGCATATAATTACTTAAAAATTCCGTATTCGATAAAGCACTTTGAAAGACTCGCGATTTTCATGTACAGAAACCGCTGATACATACTTGAATAAGGTATCTGTATAAAGCCTGTAGATTATGAATATACAATTTATAGAGTGGCCCATATACGTGCCTCAATTCTATGTGGTTCCAAATGCCTACAAACGCAGTAGAACTCCAGCGTGAGATTCAAAACTGCATATAATCACTTGAAAATTCCAGATGTGTAGCACCTTTCGCAAAGTATTACCTGATTGGCTAAAATAACAATTCGTGTTTCAAGGGTTTCAACCAATCAGGGACCAGAATTAAGAATTTTAATTTAAAACGGAAGCACAATACGGTATTCAAGACCACAGAAATCGACTAATCGAATTTTTCACAGACAAATGGCGATTTAAAAAGAACCTTAAACACAATGTCCTATTTGACCTAAAATTTTATGAAAGAAGGTTAGATTGGATGTTTTGAGCTAAAAATTGGTTTATACACTTATTAGAAGCAGCGAAAATTGGAAAAAAAACTCGTATACAGCGTCTCCTAAGTCCTGGCAAGTGTCATGAAAAATTAATAATCAATAGGGGAACTGATCGAAATTTTCACAAACAAATGGCGATTTTAAAAGAGCCATCAACATAATGTCCATAAGAAGAATAACAAGTTTACAAAAGAAGAATAGACTGAAAGTTTTGAGGTATAATTTGGTTTATAAAAGTGGCAAAAATTAAAAAATTGTCTTCAGGAAAGCCTTGAAAAATACTTTGCTA